TTGTTAATTAACCTTTTTGTCTGCACTTGCACTAGTTTAGTAGGTTGCTATTTGTAAGAATGGCGGCGCCTACGGCCTACCACCAGAACTTTAATTCGTTTGGGTGAAGGAACACATTGAATACCTTACAGTGATTGCTTGAAAAATATCTTATATCCGTCCCTTCTATTTGTTTATGTCTTTGGACACTTATTATTGAAAAGTGAAAAATGCTTAAATTTTGATAAAAGGATCCCCTGATTGTTTGGTCGTCTCTGTAAAACACAAATCCAATTGAATTTTGAGTTGCCGAGGGTCAGCCCTGTTTGGTTGGAAACTAGTTTGTGACATAAAAATCAAGGGTGCCTTTGAAATTAAAAATAAAGGTTTTTTTGTATACCAGTCTTTGGTATACCAGTCTTTGGGGACGAGATAAACACAAATGTTATTAAGAAAAGTTGTTCAGAACTGAAAAACTGAGTGAACGAGCAAATTAATTTCTAGGCTTACATTGATTTTTTTTCACGATTTTATTTTTTAACTGATTTTTTTTAGGAAATGAAAATAGAAACACCAAAATGGGTGATAATGATCTAAAATGGTACCTAGTGAACTAATGATAATGATTGTATAAACCCACTATTAAACCCAAAACAATTGCTTCTGGGTAATTGTTGTGAAGGTATACAAAGCTTTCAAACAATTTCGTTTCCGTGTTCGAATGGTATGATCATTAGGACGCTGTCTGTCCGGATATTGAGCCAATGAATGCAATAGTCAGAAAATAATAAGAAATTGATCCCCCATTTAAAAAAAACTGAGCTTGTAGTCTTTGAAATTTCTTAAATTTGGATTTCCATAGGGTGAGGTTGTACGTAGGTACTTAAAAGTACACTGAAAGAAAGCTATATTCTTTCTCTATGCACTGGTAAAAGTGGATTGCTATACTACAACCCATGATACTACAAGTTGTAGTACCATGACTACAACCGTTTTCAAGCAACCAAGTTTCAAGGTATCATCTGCATCCGCCATTTTTTTAAAACCATAAATTGTAAAAATCTGCATTGGTTATCAAAAGAACTGAAATTTCATGTAGAACCCAAAAATAGGGGTTGCCATTTAAAACAACGAAGTTACTAGCTGCTTCCGGTATTTTCGGAAGAGCGACCATTTTGAAAATATTTTACATGGATTCGGCCTTCAGAGTAACCCCTAAGTACACATTTTCAAAAATCTACCTATTTCACTTAGAAACGTTTAACAATTTTACAATTACGATATTTTTCGACCACAAAACCAAAATTAGGAGAAGAATTCATGATTCCTCTCATATTAACCCTTTAGGTATTAAACTCGGCATTTGCATCATATAAATTACTGCGCAACCTATAAAGTCCTTCTTTTTTTAAACCATGGGCTCGGCGCGAATGCTCTTTTAATTTTGAAAACAGAAATGTGTTTGAATTTCAAATTAAAAATCCTGAATGTGCGGTGGTAGTCTGTACAATTCAGAATCTGCATGATTCCCAACAGATTTTTTAAAATCAGGTACTGTTGTGTGTTGTTTTCTATCTACTGTCCTTTATTGTCTTCTCCTGACTCTCCTGCTTTGTTCAGGCCGCATCTGCGCTTTCCTGCTCTATTGCCATCTTTTGTGCTCACACGTAATCTTCTGGTTTCTCCTGCTTACCATGTCCTTCCCTCTCCTCACATATACTCTCCTATCCACTCCTGTTTACTCATTTTCCCTCCCTCCTAATTCAATATTTTCGGACAGCGAACCTCAAAATGTGACTTTTTAACTTATAAAATTGTGAACTCTTTTGTTTTAAAATCCCGATCTCAGAATTGCGCAGTTCTCAAACTAAAACGTTCTCTTACTGTCAAAAACAAACATGCAGAAGTTATGTAGATACTTCAATTTTCAATTCAAATCCCAAATGTTCTGCAAACTGTACAACTGAAAAGCTTCATACTGTCTCGTGCCTTAAAATTACATATTCCAGATATTTTTGCATCTTTATGTCACAATTTTATAATTTGTTGTTGTTAAAGATCAAAATTTTGAAGTTCGCTGTCCAAAAATTGCGAACTAGGTGATATTGAGAAAACAGGTTAAATTTCAGCTCAAAAGCTTCATGATTCCACTTGTTTCAAAATATCAACTCCAGATTTTAAGAAGAAGGACTCACTATTCTGGTTCCTGGATTGTGGAGTTGTCAAAGTTGAACGCTCCCTTATTCCAAGCTCAATTTTTTCTAATTCATCAGCTGGAATGTCCTGAAATCTGTAGAATTCAGAATCTTCATAATTTTGATGAGAAAATCTCAAAATATGTAGGTACCTTCCGGGACTATTACGCAACTTATATCGTCTGGGTCAGAACTGTGGAATTCTCTTATATCCATAAACAAGCCTCTTGAGCTTTTAGAGGCTTGAATTTTATATTTAAATCCTGACTGTCTCAAAATCTATACCATTTTCATGATTCATATACTTGTTTGCTTTTGAACCCTGGAATTATACAATTCTCAAACTTATTTCCAAAAACAGAGGTTGTAAATTTTTGAAAATCAAATTCAAAGCCTGAATGTCTCGAAATGAAGTCGTTGTGCCTACTTATTGCTCGACTGATGCTATTTTTCTTGACAATGACACCAGAAACGAACGTCGGGTTGTAAAGCTTTAGACTTTTGAAAAGAATCACTAAATAATATGCCTCTAAAGTCCCCTATACAACCGGTGTTGAATGCAATTTAATTTGACTTAATTTCAAACGGTTTTCTATCGCAATAAAAGCACAACATTCATCTTAAAGTGTGATTGTAAAATTCTAGGTCTTAAAGCTCCACTCAAAGGAAATTAAGCACGTGTTGACCTCATTTGAAAATATTCCCCATAAATCCACAAGCACATCTTACTCAACAAGAGCTTCATTTAATTTACCAATTTTAAAGTGCCAACATGGGAACTTTCATATGAATGCGGCTTTATTCCCTTGAGTAATGATCGATTTTCCGCATCAGCATTTCAGTCTAAATATACGAAAATGTAAATTACGAGCTATAGTACTGTTATTTCACTTACGTGTGTAAAAACCTCGCCTGAGGTTAATAACATTAAAAGGAAGAAACTCACATTATTTTTCTGTTTTTATAATGTATTAGAACCTGTATAACTAGTTCACGTCGAGGTTCGCGCCGTAAATCGGAAACTACGAATTTTTAGGGAAATTGGATTCTCCATTCTCATTTTCGATTTGCAGTCGCATGCTATTGAAAAACTTTGTAGACGATAAAAAAAGAGCTCAAATCTCTTAAACGCCGAAGGTGAAAAGGAACGAACATGACGTCTCGATACTTAAAAAAAATGTCTAGTTTCTTTTTAGAAAATAAGGCTGATAAATTGCGTTACGAGTCGTTGGAAAGGAAACCTTCTCAATTTATTGAATTTTACAGCTTACTATATAGAAAAAGTATATGAGGACATCGTGATCGTAAATAATTCTTGTTGTTTGTTTGCTCTTGTTATAAAATATTCAACATTTCGGTTTTTTATCATGTTGGTCTAAACGAATGATTTTTAATACAATTATTTATACATTTAGAACCACGATAGTTTATTCAAGTTTGTATACAGGGTGAGCCATTAGTGTATGGGTGGAAGGGTTTATTAACGCACATATTTAAAAATTCATTGTCGGGGAATGTTAAAATTGTTCATTTTGTGTAGAATCATATTAGTTTACTACACTAAAAATTTCAACAAATTCGGTTCACTGGTTCGTCTGAAAATTAGGCACGCAGTTTTTCCATAATGTTTTAATGGAGACTCCAGCCCTTCAAAATATTTTCAACGAAATTGCATACAGGGTGGTTTATATCAAAGTTGCATTTTTTAATGAAACCCCCTGTACAATGTACATATTTCGATTCCTTGGTTAATTTTAGTGTGATTATGTAATATGTATTACACATGATATCTAAAATGAGCTGCCATTCGTCGTTTTTTCAAAAAGTAGATGTCCAGTAAAAATCGTAGTTATCATAAAACTAAAAGGTCGTGAATGCAGTGGTAGGTAGGTACTAATCATGAAGTGTCCTAACGGCTAAAGTTAAGCTTCTTATGTGTTAAAATCAACGCGTCAATTTTCAAAATTTCAATCAAAGGTAACTTCATTTTTTAAATAGAACTACCATAAGATCAAAGTGTAGTAAAGTGTAGTTTTTTTTATTGAATCAAGTGTAGGATTTTATTACGTTTGCCGTTCAGCGTATGTTAGTACACTTTATGATTAGTATTTGTGGGTGAACGCTATCCAAGCCACCTGCACATCCAGGAGGAAACGAGTTCCTAGCTGCGATTAATTCTCAAAATGTAGGATCATCAGGGTAATTATATATCAATCACCATCATCATTTGTGTTTAACCCAATTTGACGATCGCCTTTAGCCTCGCCTTCAACTACGACTTTAGCTGATTCTTGAACAAAATCGGGTGAATCCTTCAACCTATAGGTATACATTCTATGATACTTTACTTTAACAACGCAATAAATAAGGGATCAAAACTGTGTAATTTACCTGCTAAAATTTTGGGGGTTGAAAGAGCGTTTCTAGATAAAATGCATGTGTATGGCTATGGATTACAATTAATAACGATGCCATTTTGTATGTCTATTTACGTTCGGTTTGAAATATGGCATGTTACTTTTGCTTTCTTTTAATTCTAATTTAGAGGTTGTCTATTAGAACCAGGTCACAATGTTTCACATATTAAAGATTCGTTCCTAACACTTTCGACTACGTGACACGCGTCAAAAGCATTCCAACAATTTCATTTTCAAACTCATTTTCTTTTTTGCGAAACCGATCTGCTTTTAATTCTACCTAGACGCCCAAAACTTTCAAAAAATGAAAGGCAAAACGTTTTGATGGCCTCCCAAAAGCACCACTGCCTAATTACGAAAAGGTCATCAGCGGTAGATTTTTAGATAAAAAACATTGCGTATATCTTACCTTATTACGTTACATCCAGCTCCTACAATAATTAAAGTTGTCTTGTACGGACATGGCGGCGGTGTCGGATTGTATTAACTATAACTTCGATAGCATGTTAAGATGACGTGGAATTCTCAGATCCAACACTCACGGTTTTCTGAAAAGATATCAGATTTATGTTAATGTCACATTTTTAATTCGTGTAATTTTTTCAGTGCAAACAAATTGAAAGCATATACCTACTTATAGTTACGTAAAAACTAGAAATCTTTTCTGTTCTTAATAGTCGCGTAAACCTTTAACTAAGACCAGTTACCATCATCGCCAAGGCGAATGAAAATTTACTCAAAGTAACACAAATCAGGTTCACATTATTGTGAAACTTATCCTACTAATAGTTCTAAAAAGGCAGAGAATTGTTGGCTTTCGATACTTTGTCACAATCCAATGGCTCAAGGTGGCATGGTGTAAAGAATGTAACACAATCCCAGATTAGCTATTATAAGAGCACGTATTCTTGGTAGACGTATGCCACTACTCCAAATTAAACAAGAACCTAACTTCAACCATTAAACACACAAGACGGAGTAAAAGAATCTGAAATTACCTTGACCTACCATACATGTAAGAAGGACGATGACTTCTAAGCAACACAATACCACATTAAAGTTACCTCATAGTAGAAAATATAAATTTTGAACGTACGTATCCCATTTGCACTGCAAAAGTGACGATTTCAATTTTTTGAATGCGTGAGAAAATTGTTCAGTTTTGGGCACTCGCTTTTCATGTTAGTTAATTTTATTTCGCAACTAATTTAAAGGATTTATAACTTTAAAAAAACCTAATGAAGGATGAACAATTTTAATTACAATAGACTTTTAAATTCACACACTTAATGCTTTTATTATCAATAAGCTTCTCCTGCATTAAAATTAAAATATGCTAATTAAATCTGCCAAAACACGCTTTTTAATTTGTTTTTTCGTTTGCATGCATCCTACTTTACCATAAAACTTATTTATTGTAAATTATAGTTATTTATTATGCTAGACGATTAAGACTATTCCCTAAATTATCTTTCACGCGATGTTAATTTATCTTTCTCGCCGCGTGTATGTGGCTTATTTTATTTTTCCCATGGCAGGTCTGTACGTACAACCAAAGCTGCGTAAGTTGTGTAAAAACTTATAAAGTAAATATATTATAGATATATTTAATGTAGCAGGTAAGTAGAGAGAGACAAATAATTGAATGTTTTTATTTTCTTTAGGTTATCGATTTCGAAGCTCACTTCATCATCAGACCTTGCTAAAATATAAAATATAAACATTCAATTATTTACCTCTCTCTACTTACCTGCTACATTACATATATCCAAATAATTCACATGGAGCAATACATCAATAAAATACATATTATAAATAGTTTATGGTAAAGGATTCCCATAGACATAGACAGCTATAGTCTATTTGTAAATTGCCTACATTTTTTGTGATTTAGGTTTTCTGAACAGAACTTGGGTCTTTTTGAATTGCAAAATTAAAATTACTTTCGGAAGCATTTTGCATCATTTTCTAAAGTCCACAGATTAATTACCAAACATTAAATTTACCCTGTAGTCCACTTTTCTTTACTTTCATAGCAATTCTGTTAATAAAATGTGAACTGTCCCTCTGTTATTAACGGAACTTTGCATATTTAATTAGATTCTGGACGACGCTCGTTCTCACACTTCGAGTCAGTTGGCATTTTGTTCTAAACTGGTATGATAATTGTTTATAGATTGTCACATGCATTAAAAATGGACCAATAACATACCCTGAAAAAATTAGAATAAGAATGAATAATAAACGAATTCGGAACGAAAAAATAGGTATGTCATCTCCATCAGCGAATTCTAAAACAGAGCTCCATTTTTTGCGACTTCTTCTAAGGGACATACTGCTTGCTCTCACAATAGCAAATCCAATTTTTATTCGCAGCCAATTCATGATTGTACTATTCCATTTCTCAAATAAACGTTCACGTAATCGTCTCAAGAGAGTTCTAAAGTCATATCCAAGGAATCCATCAACAAAAGTTACCAATGGAGTGAAAGAAGCATGGCATCGCTGGCGAGCTTCTAGGTATTTCTTTTTCTTTTCATTTTCTGAACGATTTATCACCGATTCAAAGGAGAGGGACCCATATAATGGGGCACCTGTGTCAACAACACGAACATCAAATAATGCCTCAATTTGTGACTTCCAAATCCCACGGCATCTTAGATTAGCACGTAAAGCAGGCTCGGTAGTATATTATCTCGAATTAATGCCATAAGGTTTCCTATAGAACCTCTAATTTCATTGTATCTTAAACCTCTAATGCGACAACTTTAAAAGGCATGTTCTATTGAGAGATTTTCACCATATCCATCACATACTGCAGGAATATTAACAGGAGTTCTACCCCATTGCGAATGGTATGACCATCTCTGAAATCTAGTGGTGATAATTCAAGATTAAGACGCTTGAGGGGCATCCAAGATAACCATGTATTCATAATTTTATCAGTAGCTCTTGAGATAACACGTTGATGTCTATATATAAAATTTTCAAGAGTTCAGAAGAATGTTTAATTTTCTTTCACGGCTAATTCTTCGACAATAGTGTAAGATAGCTTCATGTGTGTTTAAATTAAAACCAGAACGTGTAGTTAATCATTCCGAAAGTATGCTGCAATCCGGACAGGGAAGTTTCATAAGCAAGACTATATATAGCATCCATTACAGGATTAGTCTCGGGATTAGTTATACTAAGTCCTCCATTTTGATTGGTAGATGAAAAAGATTGGATTCATCTTCACTCACTTCACCTCGAAGAAGGGATGGAATTATCCGGAATGACGACTAGATGGGTTGTTTGTGCCCGAGGAAAATATCCATATTTTGGCTACGACGTCTTTAAGGCATTCCACAATAGCAAAGCATCAAGAGCAGGAGCAGAAGGAATCATCAGCATACCAAATCTAAGCTGATTTTCTTATTGAATTAAAGGCATAGTAGCAATGCCATAAATAAGTATTGCTCGTTCGCTCGTCCGTCCGTCCGCTCGCTCGCTTCATGTCCATCGATTTAAAAGAGAACGGATGGACCGGTTACTAATACATTTTGCAGACGGATTTTATTTATAAAATTTGTAGATCGGAGTTCGTTATTGGCAATGTAGGCCAAAAATAAGGAAAGCCCTTTTGACATCTCCGTCAGTATGAACCGAACTGCATGAAATTGAAACTGGGTATATCCGCTACCACTTCTGGTTGACGAGTATTGCCCAAAATTTAGTCAGATAGTCCCTTGACCATTGTTTACCTATTTTTGCAAACAAAATTGGAAAATTCGAAACCGTTCGCGAGTTATCATATATACAGGCGGACGGACGGAAAATCATGAACGAGCTTTGTCGCTCGTTAATAAACAATCGTTTTTCACAGTATTGCACACGAGCGATTTGTATTTTTGAACGTCCGTCTCTCCTGATTTTGGGCATGTGCTATGAGTTCTGGACAAGTTTTTAAGAGTTATTTTAGTAGCGCTTCAGGCGAAGGGTGAAGAAATGCAATAAACTATATGAGATTTTTACCTCTTGTCGTAGATAAAACTATAGTTTTTCTGAAGTGTGTGTCCTGTCACTGATACTTTCTATTCAAGAACTCGTAATATAAAAATAACGGTAATGCTTTCTGTTTTTAATTTATAATAGGTGGAGTTTTAGCTGAATGCAATTAGAGCTATTAATAACGAGGAGTTAGCACTGACTTTAGGGGACACGTAAAATGAATAACGTTACTTCCCTATAGAAACCTTTTATTTCCCTAAAATTCCCTCTAGATTTCCTCAGAATTTCCTCTTATTTCTTCAAAATTTCATAATATTTCTCTAGAATTTCCTTTAATTTCGTCCATTTACTACATATTTCCCAGCTATTTCCTTGAAATTGCTTATACATGTACGTAACAAGAATTTCCTTTATTATGAACCCCTCGGGGTTGATCACGAATTATTTTAGGGGACGAAGATTTCCTTCAATACCTAAAAATTGCTACCATTTCCCCTAATTTCCCAATATTTCTAGCATTCCTTTAAATTGACACAAAATTTCTCCGAACTAACGTGAAACGAATAACGGTACCTATTTCCCTATAGAAACCTTTTATGTCCTTACAATTTTCTATACATTTCATTAGAATTTCCTCAGAATTTCGCCTAGGTTTGCTCAAAATTTCCTAATATTTCCCTAAAATTTCCTCATTCCTTTGAAATTTCCTTCTACTTATCCTGATATTGACCCAGAATTTACTTTAATTTCGTCCATTTCCTATATATTTCCCAGCAATTTTCTCGAAATTTCCTATATGAGGGACAAGAATTTCCTTCGTAATCAACCACTCGATTAATAAGCCTACGGAACGGTTTACTCGCGCTCGCGCAGAACAGAATTTAAGGGAATTTTCTTAAAATTAATTCGAAATTGCTTAACAATTGTCGAAACTATTGCAAAATCGTCATCAACTAGAACTTGGGGAGGAATGAATTGCGAAATGTTCACATTCTTCGTTCGGTCAAGAAATTCAAAGAGGAGAAGGTGGTGGCTCGCTTCTGTGCATAGACTGTTTTTCACTTACCAATATACTGAAATCAACGTTGATGCTAGATCTTTAGATTTCCAGCTCTTGGCCCATGATATTTAATAAATGTTACAACACACTTGCTTACTCATACAGTTTGCATGTAAGTATTTTTTACCATAAAAATAATTATGTTGATGAAATGAACGTAACAATTCAGAAAAAAAGCGATTAGCCTTGAGACTCAATGAATATGGCAATTGGAAAAGTGTTACGTACGAAGATTTCGAACAATTATTCTCCCATGATGACCAATAGAGGAAATCTAAGTTCTTGGTCATTGATTTTTCGCAAAAAATTGGTGTTATAAGCGATACTGAACCCAAAATAGTTCCAACACAGTACTTTACCTATAAATTCAACAGTTCGGGACAAAATGTCTACTCTGATTGTAATACCTAAGCCTTTGCTTATGACACCCTTAATTTCGCCCTCACCCCCACATTAGCGCCCCAGTAGTGAGTATGCTAGTACCAAAATTCCTTCAATCATACACGAGTGCCATCACGATGGGTGATGGCACTAGACGAATTTCAAAAATGTGTACGCTTATTTTTTAGAATGAATTAAGGTGTACAAAAACGTAAGCCCATAAATTTTACCTTGAATTAAAACAAAAGTATCCTTTTTATATATAGGTACTTCTGCTGGGAAGGTTAAAAAAACAAAACCGCGAGACTGTCCCCCAAAATATAAAAAGTAATGTTGCAATTGCCATTACTTCATTCGGAAAGTAGATTAGTATTTTAAAGGCAATTAATTTATTTGACTGTATTCCGCTTTCTATAAGAAATCTTCGACACTTGGCAATCGGTACAAGTAGCAACACTTTTACACTCTTATGACGCTTACCTGATTACAACTTTGATTTGCCATAGAATTGGGTTATGTATAGAAAATGTTAATTCTATTGATTTATGCTCCATTTATAGTGTAGTAAATGTTTTTAATTAATTGATGGTTGTGGAAATTTTCCCACAACACAAATTGACTTGACATTCATTTATCAATCTAATTAACAAGAATTCTTTTTACGGACTCATCACTCTCACTTAAAAAAAGTGTTTTAGAAAACTATAATAGGCATGTAAAGCAACGCCCGCCTTGTAACACACATATTAAATTTGAACTAATCAGTGCGGAAATTTTTCATTAAACTTTTGCAAATTGATTTGAAAATGAAATGAAAACACCAACGCGGAGAAAAATCGATCAATCGCATTTTAATTGCCTATAATTGTTTTGGGCCTCCTCCACACGTTGGCGAAATCGCATATAACAACCATCATTTTAATTCCATACCGACTCGCGAAATGTGCAATCGACGTACATCCGGTGATTCGTAATTAAAATTACGTCCTTGTCCTTTTTTGCTTGTAATAATAATAATTGTTACCGATCGCTATTAACTAATTCACTTCCTGATAGGCGGCACGAAGTTCCTGCATTCGTTGACCTAAAGCTAGTTCTACTGCAATGGCATTTCAATTTGGTCCCAAATTAATATTCTAAAGAGTTACGATATAAGACATTTTTCGTAGATGTAAACTTTTCACATGAATTTCTTCATCTGGATATTGCAGAAGGGAATAGATAAAAGATTAGAAACTCGTTAAAGTAAGAATACAAGCTCCAATATCATATTTATTGTAAACTTTTCACCATGGCGTAATGTTTCATTTTCTTTCAAATAAGTATTACCATTAATGTGGTTTTTATTCATTGGTATTACCTACTTTTAGGTCCAAGGCACAATAGCATAATACAGTATTTCAGATTTGTCAAAAATTGACATAAAAATTGAATAAAAGTAGAATGCATATTGCTGGATAAGGGTGATTGATTGTCAATAGCGTGAAATGATATAGTTTCCTATTAGTCCAGCAACCCCAGAAATTCGGCCAGGGTGGTGCATTCTTGCCTTCAGAGTAATCGTGTTCGTTATGTTTAGTAAAACGATCACTCAACTGGAACTTTTCACCATTTAAGTGATGGTGTCTATCTGGGAACACGATAACTGGCAAACACTAGGACCGATTCGGTTCAAACTTTGAACAGTTGACCTATATGCCATATGTATTAAGCCTATTGAAAATGAGTCAAATCCAATGATCCCGTTTGGTGACACCGCTCTGCCGCTTTTCTATAACGGTTTACACGATTTTTATTCCGGGGTTGATTTTGCCACGTCTTCAAATTTCGACTTTCTCCACCACAACTGTGTTTATTATGGAAACTAGCATGGTACGAGGGTTAAAGATGGTGTTGCTCAAATGATATTTGAACTCGAATAATGTTGCAAGCGCATTTTAGGTGGCGCCTGAAATGTCGTTTGAACTTCGCCTCCTGAATCAGTATGTAAGTTTTGATAAATTAGTAAAAGTATTATTAAATCACAATCTAATCAACAGTCATTAATTGTTACCAAATCCTGCAATTTAAAGCCCCTCAAGAATCAAGATGAACGGAAACATTTCCTGGGACCTCTCCTTCACGCAGTAATTTACCAACTTGATGTTATCGTCTCTGCCGAATTATTAGCGACAAAGCCTTGACTTCACTTGCATTTAAATAAATTGACTACCAGCAAAAGGATACGTACTCAAATATCAATTTCCTGGGTCATTATCGCACTCGTTGAACCTTACCGTCTAAATATAGATCTTCAAATAGGACAAATTAATTTACTTGCACATTGCTTACGAAACGATCTTTAGTTTACAGTACAGCTAAAAATGGACTGAAGTATTTGCTACAAATTTTAAATGGAAATTAGGTAACGGAAACCCAAAAATTGGTTTTTAACGTTGAAATTAGGCACAGAATTAAGAATTTTTATTACTATTATTGTTATACAAGTGGGTATATATAGCTTAATGTTTCAATAAAATTTATAGAAGCGTTAAATAAAACTTTAAAGCTTATGCTAATATTTACAATATTTTCCAAATTTATCACTGCGCATTTTGATTGATCCATATTGAGGATTAATTTAGGGGAGAAGGTTGCCTAATTGAACAACGGCGGCAGAGCAAAGCGATGCACGCCTTTTAGGGGGGTTGATGGTATCTGTCGCTTTTTTAGATCCTTTTTACGAGGTTTATTGGGTTTGAATCGTTACCGTTTCGAGCCGAGTTTAAAGAATTTTAAAAGCCTTGGTGCCCACTATTGGTTTTCTGATTTTTGCTCTCCAAAAATTAATTGTTGCTGCGATGCTGCCTTAAGTGCTCAAAATTAATCTTTCTAATTAGAATTACATTAAAATGATGAAACTTTGGATCATATTCAAATATTGTGACTGATATGAATCTGTACATGCCACCTTCATCGCACTGCTGAAATGCGTAGATTCAATACCAACCATAATATTTGAAACAATTAGTGCACAAGTTCCACTTTTATCCAAATTTTAATACACGAATTGTCGAACTTCAAGCTATACTGTTAGCTAACTTCACAGAAAATAAGTACATCGAATATAATCCTGTGTTTTGGTACAAGATGAGTACAAACTTACAGCTGAATTTAAACTAAATGATTATTTTGATAAGGATTTCGTCGGTTTTAACGCCCAATTTGCTAGACTAAACATTTCCCAATAAGCTGTAACATAAAGTGGAGAAACGTTAAATACACCAGACAAGAACATCAGTTGAAATATGTCGGTATATCCAATACAATGTCTGATTAAGTGATTAGGATGAGGAAATATATTAATATCAATATCATACTTTATGTAGGTAGGTATATTCGTTATTTTTAATGAATAAAATGGAAAGCACGTTATGTGCCGGAAGTTTATATTTATCGATCGTAAGTTCATAGTATACTTTTTACTTTATGTACAAATTGCTTGCTTATGAAAATTCATTTGCATACCAAACTTCGTAAATCGACCTATAGCAGAGCCCGATCTTGACGGTTTGTTGTGTTCTAGGGCGAAATTTTAAGTATAAAGCTTCCTCACTAATCTCTTCATCGCTCTTGTCGCAAGGGCCACAAGCCCAAAATTCCTAGTACGTAGTCCGATCTAAAGCTATTTTTGCTACTTTCGTTATAACGTTATCAATTTAAGATCTTCAAAAAGTCATCTATTTTTTCGCATAAGCACTTTTCTGGATCGATGTGTGGTATCTACCTATATGTTACGATATCGAAGATTAATCATTGTTTAACTTACTCTCGTGTTTAAATACTCTTTGATGTTACAAGATAAAACAATTTCAGTGGAAATAATAGGTATCCATACGTGCCACTAACAACTATGCCATATTGAAAAATATTATTTTACTTATACTGATTATTTCACGCTCAAGGATTGTTTCCAGCGAGTGTAAAACCTAAATGAACCCTCGATTTGGAGAGAATACTCCACTTCCTCGCACTTTTCATTTCTTCTTTCGTATAAAACATACACTGATTGATTGATTGATGTGTCTATTTTAATACAGCCAACAATACAAGCGTATGGTACCTGGTATCTAAATTTTTGGTCAAAGGACCCACCTCCAGTCAATAATTTTGAATGTACCCTTTTTGCTTATGTTTCAGCCATATTAAAAAAAGAACTTAAATACACATCCAAGCAGTTGACATACGTCAAAATATTGTCGTGAGATGTTTACTCTAAAACACGATTCTGAATAAGTACAACTCTTGAATGTGAACAAGTTTCATATGTACAATGCCTATAAATTTATGGCGGTATTTCACAATTCACATTACCCAGATTCTAGGTAGGTACTTAATGTATTAAAGAAAACAAAAAAAAAACTTAATTTCATTTTAATTCGTTCCAAAGTGTCGTGGCAAACCACTGGAAGTGATTTCTCCAAAATCTTATCTTGGCAACCTCAAGCATCGCAATTAAACGAAAATGATGAGTAATTCTGAATATGATTAAGATAAATATAAACATTACAACGCTGATCGCTCGTCAATACTTAAAAAAATTGAAAACAAAAGCACTTTGTTGTTTCAACAAAAGCAATTGAAAGAAAATCAATATTAACTGCATGTTGGCATACAGATACATAAACGCCCGATTTCTGCAAGTCAAAAATCTGAATGAGAACATACCTGAAATTCCGAAATGCCCTTTCCGGTTTTATTTTAAAGCGAAAGACCGTGAATTCAAAAACACCAACATAATCCAAATAGGAAATTCACAAACAATGAGCGCGCCGAATTTTTTAATGCATTGACGAGCCGCTTCCGAATTAAGTGGGAAGCTGCGAGTAGCTGCAGCGGCAGCAAGTAACTGATTAACTACCAAACTAATCGATTTTTTAGCTGCAATATATTTTTCATACCGTACGCAACTATGAATCGACTATTGGGAGAAGACTGCGGTGCGCGATAAGTATGTGGGTGCGCGACAGACAACTCGTGTTTCCCTGGTGTTTGTTATTTTAGCGATTGCGACTGCGCTTAAAATTGCAACTTGATAATTAAATTCCACTGCTGCTGTTATCTGTTGTTGATATTTGTCGATAACAGTGTGTTATGACACGGGCCCATAACCAGTTGCTACAGACTACATCTATTAGCGTGCTATTTATTAGGGTGCGCGTACCTGCATTTCGGTTTGCTAGGTATATTCGCAATTTCTTCTGAGGCATTTAGAATCTTTTCACTTCATTTGACATCACTAGTGACTACTTAATTACTTTTGGTTTTAAAAGTAACTTCTCATTTTTCCCTGCGTCATATCCTCTCAATAGTTTTAAAATATTTGGCGGTATGTAAAACATGACTACGTTTGCGCCATCTGTCACAAATCTATGACAATTATAGATATAATTCCTATATCTCGTTGCGCTCTCTTACTGGTAGAGGGTAGAGTTGGTCATTGATTAACAATTTTGTTTGAAAATAATTCACTGGTTTCGATTTTTAATTTTCGTATCCGACTAAGTTCATATTTTAAATTTATCGTTGATTGCTAAAGTGCTAAAAGTAATCCCAATAAACTAATATTTTCTTCTTATCGATTATATCAATGATTCAACAGTTTTTATGGAAAACATATAAGTATGTAGCGTTGAATTTATAACTAACTAGTACAACTGCAATATAATGTCTTCTTGTAACTTTCCCCACGTTTATTCTTTATTATACCTACCTAAAACACACTACAATGTCGAAATTGAAGTCTTCGCCGATTTCACGGCCATAGGTATATACAAAAAACGCTCCTTATAAAATCTTTTTTATGATTTAAATACTTTTTTCGATTTAAATCATTTGATCTTAAATCTTAAATCATCAGACCAATCAGTTTTATTGAATTTAAATCCTTTACAAACCTTTTGTCACAAAACGATTAAATCATCGGAAAAGATTTAAATCATTACATCATTACATGATTTAAATCTTTATACGTGATTTAAATTAACAAAATTAACCTGTTTGAATGAATTAAATACATTGAAAGTATCTTAAATACTTTCTAAAAAGATTTAAATCACAAAAAATATTTAAATCTCAAAATGATTTATTATCTAAATACTTTCTTATTGACAAAAGGTTTTTTTTATATTTTTGAGGCCATCGATTCAGAATCTGAAATGAAATTTATTGCAGAACAAAATGGCGTAAAGTTAATAACGTATTTATAGTAGAAAACTTTAGAGAAAAAATTTCGATGANTTTTTATATTTTTGAGGCCATCGATTCAGAATCTGAAATGAAATTTATTGCAGAACAAAATGGCGTAAAGTTAATAACGTATTTATAGTAGAAAACTTTAGAGAAAAAATTTCGATGAATTCTAAAAATTTTCCAAAAAAATCATTGCTTTCTTGATATTATCAAGTTTACAGAAATATAATTATATTGTTTGGAAAACGAAATGGCTCAAAACTAATATTGGATTCTGACTAATAACACCACGTTTCCTACAAAACAAAAATGTCCAAAACGTTAGAAATCATAAAAAAAGCATTGCTTGCCTATAATTCAGTTTTGGCACATGATCTTACAAGAATAAGTTTTCTATAGAAAGCTGAAAATATAATATCCTTAATTCAGTCTTGTGCGAAAAATACTATCATACTTTGAGAAACATTCGTCAAAAGATGAAACTTGTATTGTTTGATTTAGCGAATGTATGCAGTATTCGGATATAAAAAGAATTATCCCTTCGTCGATTATTTTTTTAAATAAATTTACAAGTAATATTTAATTATCAGCGTCATCTTCGCTATTTCTCTCATTACCTATATTTGTTAACCTGAAGAAACCCCTATTTGACAATGGCGTTTAATTTCTTTAAAAGGCTATGTAAATTTGCGGAAATATGGGGCAATATGGGCTCCTGATGGTAGCAATAACAATATTCCACTGCAGTGCGTGTTAAAAACTATTAAATGAAACCTCATCACAAAAACCTTTCAGATCTTTCAGTCTAAAACAGTTCAGAATATTCCTTCACCTTCACCACAAACATTCATTAGATGAAGTTTTGGTAACTGTTGAGGGCGCATCCAAAATTTTAGTAAAAACTCCAACGCGCGCTGCTAAATAAAATCTCTTTTGTAATTTCTTGGCGACAAAAGAAAAAATCATCCATAGTTTTTTTGTTATAAGTCGTCTGCGTAAACTTTGCAAAACTATTTAACGCGTAGGAATACCTGCAATTCTAATAACAGCCAGGGCCGCCGCCAGAAAAAAATATAGGGAGGGTCGGCGGACACTCCCTGACCACTCTTGCCGGCCGGCCTGATCACATCTCAAAAATTTTACTCCGAAACTATGACCGGAATTTAAATTTTTTTACAAAAAAGGAGCTGCAAGTACCTATTTCTTTGGCACGAAAAAGCCTCGATATTGTTATTATCAATTATCATATCAGGTTTAAGTACTCTACTGGCTACTATACTTAGTACTTGCACCATACCAAATTACTGAAACTTTTAAAAAGAGTTACCATGATCCCGAGTTAATACTTGATATTTCATCAAAATCCTTTCGCGTATTTTAGAAAATATGTAACGGGACTATTATAGGCACCTTGTTACAAGGGCCCACATTTTTGCGAAAGCGAAAAAGTATTGGTGCTTGTTTAAGCTCCCTTTATTGAGAAAAAAATTTTAAAAAAATTTTCACCGTAAACGTTTCAGATGAGGTCTCAGCATCACGAAAATGAGATTTTTTAAAAATGTCTGTACCATTGTGTGTCCGCAATGTTGATGCTATCAAGTTGAAATGTTGTGAGTAATTACGCCTCGTAGAGATCTGGAATTGTTTTTGGTGAAAATCGAAAAATACGTGCCCGAGTTTTCGCAATTTTTCCGAACCATTCCAAGCAAATGTCGTCACCTTATTACATAGCGCAATTTTGCAGTTATCGAGTTGAAAATTTAAGAGTAATTCCGTATTGTAAATCTCTGAAACCGTACTGTGTTTGGTAAGAATTAAAAAAAAACGCGTTTTCACGATTTTCCTGGGCTGTCCGAGCAAAGTTACAAGACGCAATTTCGAAGTTGTCAAGTACAATATTGTAACGTGATTTATAAATTCGGGTTCGATTTATATCAATATTTATTAAACAAAACTAAAACACTATAAAATCCGTACAATTTATATCACTCACACTTCGCAATTTATTTCAGATTTTAGCGCTCGATGTTTCATACGTACTCGTTCGGTAGTAGACTGCCGCGATGTTCGGTCCGCAACCATTTATACACGCAAGCAATGTAAGTCCCGAACATTCTCGAATACGCGTAGAAAATTCCAGAGCGCCAAAGGCGACGTCATGTCTGGAGCATTTCCGTTACAATATTTCAGGGTACATAGGTATCGTTGGTGGTCGGTGCCCTATTTATTGGTCAGTGTGATCGAAAATTTATTTCTTCATATACATGGTGTTCACTGGAAAATTAAATGTATTGATATGAGAAAAAATGTCACTTTAATGGTGTATATTAACTCTTTTAGGGTAGGCCCTTATTGTCATTTCTTAAGGTACCTTTACACTATCATACTTCTCATGTGATTTGTCATATGATAAGTAACAAGCATTTAGATTTGTGTTTACACTATACTATTTTTGGTATTATGGCTGTCATAAGGAAATAATATGGAAATAATACGTAAATCGTGGAATAGGGATATTTCTATTTCTGCATGACAAATGACATGACTTATTTTAAATATCCAAGTGATCCCGCCCTTTTATGGTTACTTTTCGCATTTTGCTGTTGTAGATACTTATCTGAATACTTGAGTAAACCAGTAAACTTTTGATTATATCATTGATTACAGGTGTGTATAATCAATGATTATAGGTATATTAGTTACTAATGAATGAATAAATTACATAAACAATAAATCGAGCAATAAATATTTACGAGTATATTGGTATTTGGTTGTCTGGTTGTAGTGGTGTTTTCAGACACACATTGTCAAATAGTCTTGATTGGTAATTAACCCTTCAAATATATTTGGGGTAATCTTTCAAATAAGGGAACACTCATCCTTAATGTCGACCAAGGGGACGACTCTGTTTGATTTGTTAATGAAACGCATAACGGAGAAATTATTTTTAAAATAATTGTTAAACTTTTTTTGTTAAAAATGTACTATGATTTTTGAGGCACTTTAGAAGTTCACCTGTGCTTTACAGGTGATTTTTTTGAGTTCTAAGTTAGCCTGAAGGTACTTTTTTGTTGAATACTTATCGTGATAATTATCGATTTATTTTAATACAGAAGTTAACCGCACAAAATTGCTTATTTGCCAATTTATTTAAAATTTTACGGGATCCCGCAAATACCGGGTTCCCGCGGGATTAACATCTAACGATCCCGCAAATACCGGGACGGGATTCAGATTTTGCTGCGGGATTGCATTCCCTAGCTGCTTTTGAACTAGTAGCCCAATCTTGGAACTGTTTGAAATTATGGATTCTACAGGCCACATTCTATAAGAAAATTTTTTTTCCGGGTCGATCTGCGACAATTTTTTCTTCGGGGCCCAAAAAAAAGCAGTGTATAACCTTCCTTTTTTTCCAAAAATCGACTGCACCAACATTTCTCGGGAAAACACTTTTTCTTATTAATTTTGGTGCGTAGAATCCAAAACAATTCGTACTTTTTCGATCAGACTTCTCAATCACAAGTTATAGACTAGAAACCAATTTCGAAAGAAAATTCAAAGGGCTGTAACTTTTGAACTAGTAGCCCAATCTTGGAACTGTTTGAAATTATGGATTCTACAGGCCACATTCTATAAGAAAATTTTTTTTCCGGGTCGATCTGAGATAATTTTTTTTTCGGGGCTCAAAAAAAGGCAGTGTATAACCTTCCTTTTTTACCAAAAATCGACTACACCAAAATTTCTTGGGAAAACACTTTTTCTTATTAATTTTGGTGCGTAGAATCCAAAACAATTCGTACTTTTTCGATCAGACTTCTCAATCAAAAGTTATAGATTAGAAACCAATTTCGAAAGAAAATTCAAAGGGCTGTAACTTTTGAACTAGTAGCCCAATCTTGGAATTTGGAACATTTTAATTTAGAGAAGTTATATAGGTTTCGTAACTTCTTGTATTAAAGTCATATGAAAAACTGTCAAGTGTAAAGTAAAGCATTAAAACTCTTACGAAAAATATGTTGGTAGTAAATATCATATAACATATCATATAAAAATCATGTGAGATATATTATAGTGTAAAGGTACCTTTATTACGGTTTTAGCATGGATAATTTATGTAATTACTTAACACCTATTAGTTCTATGGCTTTTATTTACCATAGAATAAACAACTTACTATTTCTTTTTATAGGTTAAGTGACCAGTTATTAAAAAATTAGTCGTTTTCAAAAATTTGTATTCAATCGAAGGCATCATGAACAGTTGAACGACGTCTTCTAATTTACTTTTAAAGTCAAAGTTTTATGTTGACCAAACTCCCAAAGTTTAATTGTCAAATTCGCCCAGGAAGTGAATTACCTAACCTTAATTAGGCCGGTAAGGTTTTTTTAAAAATTGCTTCTTTTGGTTAACTGACAAATTCAAGGAAATGGCGATGTTTGGAACAACTCGCCGAATTTTAGTCGAGACCAAGAATTTAACCAAAGACCCACCTCCCGGAATTAGCGCGATACCCGATGAAAGTAACTGTAGATATTTCCACGTCGTAATGGCCGGCCCTAAGGGATCGCCCTACGAGGGTGGGCTCTTTAAACTCGAAATGTTTCTGCCCGAAAATTACCCGCTTAGCCCACCGTCCGTTAGATTTTTGACTAAAATCTATCACCCAAATATTGACAAGCTGGGACGTATTTGTTTGGATATTTTAAAGGATCAGTGGAGTCCCGCGTTGCAAATGCGTACAGTGCTGCTCTCCATACAGGCACTTTTGAGTTCACCAAATCCGGACGATCCTTTAGCTAACGATGTGGCGATTATGTGGAAAGAGAATCAGTCTTTAGCCACATCCGTAGCTGGGGAATGGACTCGGCAATATGCTGTAATTGATGATTAGTAATCACAGTTAGTAGTAATGTGCTGATTGTCGTAACAGGGTAAATTACGAATGTTATTGAGCTTTGTGCTGTTCTTATAAAGTTGATTGAAAAACAAGATTTTGTATAGCAATATTAGTGTAGCAACTTTTTACATTTTAATACAAATTGAGTCAAGTACTGTTAGTTTTGTTTGAAAGACCAATCCATTGGAGTGTTGTGCACAAACCCATGTGGTCTTGGGTAGTCTCACGGGTGGTTCGTGGTATTCTTTACGTATCCACGGTCGTCTTTGATGGTCTCTCTACAGTCGTTTTCATTGCCCAATCTATATATATACAGTGTGTTTTTTTTCCAAATGCTAAGTTTTTTAAGATATTTGAAAAGATCAATCAATTTGCTGTACAACATATTTATATGCCTATCGTTCATGGGTAATAGTAGGTTTTGTTTGGTGTAGTACAGAGCAGTCACATTTAAAATGTGGATATAAAATACGATGTATGTTTATTGTACTCCAGTACATTTAATATGCAAAAATATTTTAATCTTCATGTAAAATTTTGGCACAGTTTCTATTATCCTAATGCTAAAATTAAATTGTTATCTTCATGATAATTATAAATACATAATTTTTTTATCTTGTTCATAATTTTAATTCTGCCGCCATTTATTATCTTAAATCATTCCTTTGCTGGTAATAGTGAGATGAAAATACGTTACTTCATATAGGAACAAAAAAATTTAAATTTAACATCAATATAATAAATAAAATAAATTAATTATTTAATTTTATCATTAAGATAAATAAACATATTGACAAAATTTTACTTTATTATTATAATATTTTTAAATGCCATAATCATTGTTTATTTGAACTACTTTTCATAAGGCGTGTTTTTCTTGCAAAATCTTTTTGCAACGGTGAAACTTGGTCAAATAAGAGTTTGATTCAATGGGAAACTCATGTCGTCGATTCCTGTACTCTATGGTTTTATATCAATTTTGTGACCTTTTCATTTACATACAACAGCAACAAATTGTGCTTTTTAAACTTTCTTTAATTTTAGTTGCCTTAAAATGTTGATAATTTATTATCACTATAACATTTTATTTGTATAAATTTACTCAAAGTGATATTAGGTAGTCACAAACCAACTAGGAAACATTCATAATTATACAATCTTGCAGATTTTTTAGATTTTACAAATTTTTGTTCTGTTTTTGAATATCATTTTTTTGCCTAAGTGAACTATTAAAAGTAAAATGAGTGCTGAACCCAGTCCAGCAAATCAAACTGTCGATAGGGAGAAAATCTATCAATGGATTCTTGAGCTCACAAATCCGGAGACGAGAGAAAATGCACTTCTTGAACTTAGGTGAGATTGTTTTTGTGCACATCCAAACAACTCGCTGTTTTTTGCAGCAAAAAGAGGGAGGTTGTACCAGATTTGGCTCCTATGTTGTGGAACAGTTTCGGAACAATTGCAGCCCTATTATTAGAGATTATCACGATTTATCCTGCTATTAATCCAGCCACGCTAACTGCACATCAGTCCAATAGGTAATTCCTCTCGGGTGTACTCGGTTTTTTAATGTTAACTTTTAGGGTTTGCAATGCTCTAGCTCTATTGCAGTGTGTTGCTTCACATCCCGATACCAGATCACAGTTTTTACTGGCGCATGTACCTTTATTCTTATATCCGTTTCTGCACACAATATCAAAAACACGACCTTTCGAGTATCTCAGATTAACAAGTTTGGGAGTTATCGGTGCCTTGGTTAAGACAGACGAACAGGAAGTAATCACCTTTTTACTAACAACGGAAATTATACCTCTCTGCTTGCGAATAATGGAGTCCGGCTCAGAACTAAGCAAGACGGTTGCGACTTTTATTCTTCAAAAAATCTTATTAGACGATAGTGGCTTAAATTACATATGCCAAACCTATGATCGTTTCAGTCACGTCGCTATGATTTTGGTAGTCGGTCGATTAGTCCAATTCAATTATGATCATTGAAGTTTTTAGGGTAAAATGGTTTTGTCATTAGCCAAGGATCCATCCGCCCGATTGCTCAAGCACGTTGTTCGCTGTTATCTGCGACTATCGGATAATTCGAGGTTTGCTCAATATGCTTATTTTAAACGCCGTATGAAATGTTTTTTAATTTTAGAGCACGTGAAGCTCTGAGACAGTGTTTACCTGATCAGCTAAGAGATACAACGTTTAATACCTGCCTTCAAGAAGATAAATCGACAAAGCATTGGCTATCGCAATTGTTAACAAATTTAGAAACTCCCGTCGCTCCGGATCCTAGACAAGTCGATATTCCTGTATTAACTTCCCAATAACTAAAAATTAGATTGTGATGGATTTTTATATATATGTAGTGTACTAAGCATATTTCAACGACTTTTATTTGCTTACCAATCTTAAACAAGTTTGGCAGTGATGCAAAGTACAAAACCAAATTAATGGCAATGTAATTCCAAATAGGACACTCTGTAATAAATAATGGCTGATTTGAAAAATTGATATTAAAAGGCACTTCCTCAGTGGCGTCTACTTCTGCCTGCTATAATTTTGCATTTAACCAAAAGGATGAAATTGGATTGTTATAAAACAAATGTGACCACTTGAAGTAGATATTGATAACGAATACCTTTAAGTCAATCATTATTGATCTCTTTGTATTGTGTTTTTTTTTGATTTTGTATTTACCAGATTCAAATTAGTATTATATATTATTTAAAAACAATTGTCTTCTGATTTCTTAACACTGTGTCGCAACTGCCAGCTTTCATAAAAATAACATTAAGGACTGCCAGGGAGTATCTTTTCCATATCAAAGTTTTGATAGCATAATTGTTGGTGGATTTTCTCTTGGAAAATGAAATGTATACACTTGGGATATACAGGGTGGTGACTTGCGTAACGCATCATAGGGATTTCAATGAAAAATTCATAACATGCCATTATTGGCTCCCCAAATTATTTTAGAGCAAAAATGTATTGTTTCTTGTAGAAAAAAATTTTTTACGTCAATCAACCGTTTTAGTTTTCAATTGTTTGCATAATAAAGACGGAAAATTGGAAAAATAAAACCCTCATCTTTTTCAATAATCTGTGATGCCATGGAATTTTATAATATTTAAATATCTTGACGAGCAAAATTTATAAATGGTAAAGAAGCTTTTTGAATATATAATTATTTTACTGCAGATGCAAATCTATGATTCTACCTTTTACCAAAGAATAATTATTAGTGTTACTCTTTGCTTTTACTGTATGGAACCTACATGACATTCCAAAAAACAAAACCGTTGCCACTAATTGGTAATTTCTATAAACAGAGTCTTTAAAATATTCAGACATTAACAATCTCTTTGAATTATTAAGCGGCAGAGCAAAGCGATGCAAGCTTTATAGGGGAGTCGATGCGGTGTGGCGGTCAACCTTTCCTTTTAAGTTCGACTTAACTTTAAGCAAGGCTTAATTTTGGTTGTGTAACTGGGCATGAGTCTTTCCGTTGTATTTGCTTTATTTCTATGTGACGATAGATGCCCTTGTTTCCTATTTTCGCATTAAAATCTCCACGTAGTACTTACCTACCTATTCGTATTGATCGTATTTATAAGTGATTTGATTTCCATTTCAAAGATATAAGACGATCATGATTGCTTGTACCTAGATGTATTGTTATAAAAGTAGTACACGTACTATAATCTCACTCAGAGCTGGGCAGAATACTTTCAAAAAGTATTTGAATACTAAATACTTTTACGTCTAGCACAAACGAATACTAGATACAGATACATTGAAAAGTATTCAAATACTTTAAAATAAGTATTCAAATACTTTAGAATGTATTCGAATACTTTCAAAAGTATTCGAATACTTTCAAAGGTATTCGAATACTATAAAAAGTATTCGAATACTTTGAAAAGTATTTCATTATCTTACTTTGAAAAGTATTCGAATACTTGTCACTCAAATACATTAAAAATTTAAAATAGTATACTAGATAAAAGGCTTAATACTACTTAAAAAATCAAGTTATACTTTGTATGGGGTTAGCTTTTTTTATATTTCTATTGTTATATACAAATTCAAGCGGAGTAAAAGCGTATTATTATTATTATATTATTATATAGGAGGTACCTACCAGGACCTTTTTTATACCAGTTATATCCTTAAGAATACGCGTACCAGTCTTCAAAGCGATCGTACGTCATGCACATGATACGTACACCTTTCTGAAATTAATCCTAGCGATTTTGGAACAGATCCATTTTTGATCATCCGTTTTTCCGTGTGCATGATAACTTGTTTAGAAAGGTGCGATCGCTTTGAAAATTGGTACACATGGTTTTAAGGATATAAGAAAGGTCCCTATTTTTTTTAAGTTACGTAGACTATCTTGTTCGGTATTCAGACTGTATCGGATTTTTATATTTGATTTTGTGACAATGGAAACTTTCCCTAAACATTTCTAAATTATTCTCAAATATTTGAATAACTTGCCTTTTTTTGAGGCCGGAAAAAAAATTGTCTGAGATCGAGATCGATCGAGAGTCCATAATTTCAAACAGTTTGAAGATTGGGCTACTAGATCAAAAGTTACAGCCTTTTGAATTTTTTTCGAAATTTGTTTTTTGTCCATAACTTTTTATTGAGAGGTCTAATCGAAAACGTACGAATTGTTTTGGATTCTACGCACCAAAATTAATAAGAAAAAGTGTTTTCCCGAGAAATTTTGGTGTAGTCGATTTTTGGTACAAAAGGAAGGTATACACTGCTTTTTTTTGAGGCCCGCGAAAAAAATTGTCTCAGATCGACCCGGAAAAAAATTTTTCTTATAGATTGTGGCCTGTAGAATCCATAATTTCAAACAGTTCTAAGATTGGGCTACTAGTTCCAAAATTACAGCCCTTTGATTTTCTTTCGAAATTGGTTTCTAGTCTATAACCAAAATACAATACTATAACTTTTGATTGAAAAATCTAATCGAAAAAGTAGGAGTAATCGAATTTTGGTAAAAAAAAAGGAAGGTTAAGTATTCAAATACAATGCGAAGTATTCGAATACTAAATATTTGTGAAAGTATTTGAGTTACAATAACAAATACTGCTTCCATAAAAGTATTTAATTAGAAAGTATTTGAATACTTTAAAGGATTTGAATACTAAAAAGTGCCCAGCTCTGATCTCACTGTAATGAAATGGTTGCAAATTTGGCGGTTAAAAACTGCCCCAAAATTAACTGCAAATACTAAAATCTTTTCTAGGTTTGACCCAAATACAATAGATGTCACTGCACTCTAAAAAACTATAATAGTAGTTAAATCGCAGATATACGTATTGAATAAAAGTGATATAGGTACGAGTGAGTATTGTACCTATTACTTGATTGATATCCCATATGTGATAGACTTCCCCCCGAGTGGTGTTTCATTTTTTCGTCACCCAAAAAAGCACAGCTCAATGGGTTCTTTGTGATGTACTTAGGAAATTTTTGTGAAAGAAACCTTTCCAGTGTTTTTCTGTAGCCCAACTTTGAAAACGTGTGTAAAAAATCACACAAGGTTGACATGACTCACATTTTAGTAATAAAAATACGAATCACAATGCAGTTTCGAATCAGTTATTTAAAGATGCTCGTTCTCAACTTCAATGTTGAATATGTTGAAAACAAGATCAAATTAAAAGAGGTAGATACGGTCTATAGTAAGGTAAAGTCCTTGTACTTAGTTTTCTTTAAAGTACAATGTTAAATTCTGTACCTACACACAAGGTTGACATGACTCACATTTTAGTAATAAAAATACGAATCACAATGCAGTTTCGAATCAGTTATTTAAAGATGCTCGTTCTCAACTTCAATGTTGAATATGTTGAAAACAAGATCAAATTAAAAGAGGTAGATACGGTCTATAGTAAGGTAAAGTCCTTGTACTTAGTTTTCTTTAAAGTACAATGTTAAATTCTGTACCTACACACAAGGTTGACATGACTCACATTTTAGTAATAAAAATACGAATCACAATGCAGTTTCGAATCAGTTATTTAAAGATGCTCGTTCTCAACTTCAATGTTGAATATACCCCCAGTGGGTTCGGGGTTAGAATTGGCCCACTCCCGTCCTGGAGATCGTAAAAGGCGATCAATGGGCAGAAAAGGCGGCGAATCAAACCGCCTTTCTTTTTACACTTAGGTACTTAGGGTATTACCATGGTTTAAAAAAGTATTTAAACAATGGTATTACCACTTTCCTTTGTGAGTGGTTATACGCACTTATATAAATATGCATAGGTAGGTACTAGATTTCATCTATTTGATGCATTAATTCGGATTGTCCCCGATGTCTGTCGATGGTAAGTACCTATGAGGTGAATATAGTTCGACTATAGGTACCTACTAAGCAGCTGGGCGATATAGGATATTAGAGTATGTAAAGAGAGTGCAAATTTGCCTCGTTTCCAGCGACCGATATAAAAAAAAATAACTCGACCGAAGTAATAAGTCCTCCACCCTTTCCTATTATGCACTAATCCTTTCATTTCTACATAAACGTCGTTGCTAACTATTTGGTCTATCTTACCCAAGCCGCTGGGTTCCTGCGCCCCTCTTTTACTCTCTGATCAATCTTCTATAGTTAGTTGTACTAATCCTCCGTGTCTGAGTATACGTGCGCCCTATCATTTTATCTCGTCTTCTCTATGTACGGTTTTTCACATTTCCTTATATATTCCCGTACTAGCTCCAAGACTGCTTCGTAAGCTTCGTTTGTTACCCAATCCATCCAGCTAATCCTCATTATCCTTCTAAAGCACCACGTCATTTCGAATGATTCTATCCTACTTTTGTCTTCTATATTATTATAATATTTCAACGTCAACTGCAATTATACCACAAATTAACATTTTATTGTAAATAGCCCCGAAGCAGATCAAATGCAAGTGAATAGAAGAGACCAAAAACCTAAAAAGGAAAGAAAAACCTTGGCCACTTGAATAAGTTTTGAAGCTCAAGAAGAAATAAGAATTTAGTATATTAAGAAGATTTTTGGAATGCGCTACATCAGTACTTGAAACGACAACTACAGATTCATGGCGTTACACGGCTGGCAATTCCGAAGGGCGAAGATGGGATGTGGTTTCGATGAGTTGGATTGGTGCATCGCACGCCATATACTGCAGATGCAATCGTCGTCCATGTTGCGGGACGCAACAGTTTTAAGAGGGAGCGGTGTAGCGAATATTTCAAATATCTCGATAGACATCGAGGCACCATGAAAGATTAGTCATCGGCGATAAAGAACGAAGGCGGATGTGACGTAATCTTTCCTAGAAATATGACGTGTTTGTTCGAGAACATTCTGAAGCGTCTTTAACACCTCAAGAACATTCTAAGAACATTACAGAAATATTGTTGTTTGCTATTTAAGCAAATCGAATTGTGTTTCGAGTTCAGTTCCAACATCGACGCGCTGGAGTTACGTTGAGTGAGTGCTAAGAATGTTATACCTAAATTTATTGTTAATTATTTGTACTACATAAATAAACGATAATTCAATTTAAGTTACATTCTATAGTAGCTTGGTAAGAGAAATATACCTATGCTTAAAGCTCCGATTTCCCTTGTTCAAGCTAAAAGTTCCACGTTCCAGTCTTAGGTAACGAAAACATACCTACCTATGTAAGTTGTTCTCTCAAGTTCAGATGCGTCATTTTGGGATTTACAATCAATTACGTATAGG